CCTATTTACAACTCCCGCGAATATAGTTAAGTATATGTTTATATTATTTAGCACTACAAATAGCATTAAATAAGAATTTGAGTCCCAATAAAACATACTTAATCTGAACCTTAAATATTCAAATTCCTTAAAAAAGTATGATTTTTTGAAATAAAAACAACTTTAAAAGAACTTCTTCGAAAGGCCTTCAGAAGTACGTCCTGCAAAAGTCCTTTTGGAAGCTCTTCTCTGAGTAGCGAAAGCACTTTCCGAAAAGCCTTTTGGAAGAGATTTTAACTCTTGAAACTATCTACTGCGTCATATGTGTGACCCCTCAGCCGTATACCTGTTCAGAAACTTGCACTTTTTGGCATTTGCCTGAAGATACAAAATTAGATTTTAACCATATAAACCAAACAAAAAGAAGGTAAACTCACCAGATATTGTACAACATGTTAAAAACAAATGTTTCATTATCAAGTTTCGATTACTAATGACAGAAAGCTTAACCTATTTTTTTCAAAGTAAAAATCTGCTAAAAATTACATGCGTGTCTGCATCGACCTTCAATAAAAAACCAGAACAATTTATGTGTGGACCAGGACACCAGGACAATTTGTTTAAAACAGGACAAATCCTGGAAACCCTGGCAGCCCTATAAAATACCCATGAACAGGGACCGTAACAGTTACAACTTTTATTAAAAAAATCACTCTTTAACAATTATTTTTTTACTTTTATTTAATTACTCTTTAAATAACCGTTATTTCTGACTTTTATTTTATAAATCGAAAATAACAATTATTTTTGATGTTTATTTAAATAATCTGCAAATAACAGTTATTTTTGATTTTTAAATTATACGTCTTAAATAACAGTTATCGAAGACTTTTATTTATAAAAGTCATAAATAAAAATGAGCCACTGATCTTTATTTTTTCAATCATACTTATAAAAGTCATTTGAATAAGTCGTAGTAAACTTTTGCTTTCCAACACCTTCTTAACTGCGAAAAAGGTTAATGACTTTTATATGATTGATTTAAAAAATAAAAGTCGGTCACTGATTTATATTAATGACTTTTAAAAGTAAAAGTCACTGACTGATTTTTATTGATGACTTTTATAAATAAAACTCTTCAATAACTGTTATCTAAGCCTTATAATATAAAAAACAAAAATAATTGTTATTTTGGATTTATAATATAAAAATCAAATATAATTGTTATTTTTTTAAATTTTGCATAAAAATTGCAAATAAAAATTTATTTTCAAATTTGAGTCTCGGTGCAAAACGAAATCGATTGGTATGTTTCACTTAGTTGTAGAACATTTCCTTCATAGTGAATTTTTCCATGACAGTTTTCATCAATAACTGTATTGTTCGGTCCCTGCCGACGAATGCATGTATGAATGTACATATTTACGTTTGTTTAATAAGCTTATGCCAACCGTCGAACAAAGCCACGTCTACCAATGTATGTATGTATGTATTCACAACTTAATATCACATACAAATAGCATGAATGTCGCTTCTGTTTTTATAGCAGACGCATTTCGGCTGTAAGAAAACATTCCTACCAAAATACTTGAAATATTTTTAACTACTCCATTTTAAGAAGCATACTTATTACAAAGTTATTTACGGAATTTCCTTTTGGGGTAGGTAACTTTGTTGAACTCGAGGAAGGACCACTTTGCATCGCTATTTATAATAACAAAAATTCGGCTACTTAAGCGGGATTGGTTGATGAAGTACTGGCAGCAACCCTTAATCCTAAGCATAAGTTTGTTATTACTAGGGCTCGGAATCTCATGTAAATGCATGTTTTTATTGGACATCTTCAAATCGAAATGGTTAAGTTATCTTCACGAATCATGCAATTTCCTTTATAATGGCATTCAATCGTTATTGCATACATTTACATATTTTGCAGTAAATGCATGATTTTGCATATTTTGCAAAAAAAGCCTAATTTTACATATTTATTGCGCATATTTTACAATAAATGCATGTGGTTTTTGCATATTTTTACTTTTTTGATTACAACCATTTAAATTTAGTGCGAATCTCTTGACACAAAAATCACCTTCACGTAAAATTGCCCTTGAGGCACTCTCTTCTACCTCTATTAGATCTCAACTAGTAGAAAACTGGAGGAGAGAGCTGGCCTTTATATGTGATCAATACGAAATAATAAGGGTCCTGGGACATATGGACACCTATATTAACGAGGCAGCGGACGAACTAGCAAGCGCGTACTGAATGTGTCCCACGCGGTGGACATGGGCGCCTCGCTCAGGAAGATAAAAGCAACAATTATGGAAATTTATCACTCGAAGACCAAGCAGAGGTGGCACCGTACAGGATTGTACAGGATTACCCGACCCACTTAAAACCTAAGTTCTCTTAAGAATGAGCAAAGATACGTACAAACTTACTGCAGTGTGCACAGGATACTGGCCCGTCGGGGTACATGCTGAAAGGATTGGATTGCCCTTCAACAAATTCCTTCGCATTTGCGATGACCGACTTAAAAGAGAAGGTCGAAAACTTCCTGTGCGACTGTCCAGGCCTCGCAAGGATAAGGCTAAAGACACTCTGCAAACCATTCTCTCTGCATGACGTATTGAAATTCATTAAAGCTGCCAAACTTTCACAAACTATTAAACTGTCCATGTTTTTAATTACACAAGACTGTAACTGCTTGATTATAAATAAATTGTCTGCATAAATATGTGTGGTATTTTAAAGTAAATTGATTTCGTTGTTTTCTTGTTAAAACGCATGCGTTATTTATTTTTGTACCGGCAATAAAATGTTAAGAAAATCTATTTTATATTTTACTCGTTAAAAGCGCATATTTTTGAATTTTGAGTGCATATTATATGCGCATATTTTCGATTTTTTAGTGCATGAGATTCCGAGCCCTAGTTATTACTATTTTTTGGGAATTCATCCGCCAAGTATTGCAAAATAAGGTATTTGCTTACTCTACCATACATTTATTTGTACATACATACATAAATACACATGCATAAATACCCTGTAGGGAAACGAACTAGTGCGGAACTGGTTCGGTTCTAGTGCGTTTGGAACCATGACTAGTACGCGTTAATTCTCTTTTGCATGCTAGCGACTGACGAATTTAACATTGCGATGTCCTAGGAAGTGTCAATTGTCCCCCGTTGCATCCCTTTGGCTCTAGTTCCGAACCAGTTCTAAATTCTACAGATAAGATCTAGTTCGTTCTGCATCCCCTTTTCTTTAGTTTCAAACCAGTTCCTAATTCGACAGATTAGATCTAGTTCGATCTGCATCCATTTTTTATATGTAGTTCCCAACCTGTTATAAATTCGTTACCTTAGATCTACATTTCTAATCAGGCTTGTAGAAACATCTCCCTTCTATATTAAATACGATCGGTTGAAGGAAGGACAATACAATCACAAATGTTTAAACGCATTTTTTAAAAATTTATAAACCACATTAGTAGTAGTAGTAGTATTAAACTTAAGTAGTAAGTAAAAAACAAAAGTGCGTTCTGCTTAAAAGTAAAAATATTAGTTCACTTTGTCTTACTTGTCTAAATTTAAGCATATTGATTTTTAAGTAAATTCAGTTCTTTTTAAGCTTATGTGTATATGAAGCACTTCGAAAGTTTTTGTCGTACTTAACTTAAATAAGATATACAGTCAGTCAATAAAATTTAGGTACAGTGAAGTTTTTACAATACCGGAAACTATTTTTTTAATATTTTATTTTTCCCTAATTTTTTATAAAAATATGGTTAATTCTACACCAAAAACCCCAAAAATCAGAGTTCTAAACCTTATGCAAAATTAAAGAAAACTGCGAATTTCCATCCAAGTATTGCAATTTACACTCTTTAGAAAAAAGTTAAGTACTCAGTTATTAGCCCATTCAATTTTAGTATAACAAAGTGCAAGTTTGAGGTAGCTGGGACTTACCATTGATATTTAGCAATTTTTTTTTTGTTGTTTGGTAAGTCCTAGCTTCCTCACACTTGCACTTCATTATACTAAAATTGAATGGGCTAAAAAACTTTTTCTAGATAGCGTAAATAGAAAGTGAACTATTTTAATGAAATTTCGCAGAATTTTCTTAAATTTTGCACAAGGTTTGGAACTCTGATTTTTGGGGATTTTGTTGTAGAATTGACCATATTTTTATAAAAAATTATCGAAAACTAAAATATTTAAAAAATAGTTGCCCGTATTGTAAAAAATTCGTTGTACTTAAACTTTAAATATTTATTAAGGTAGCTGTGCTGGATTGCATAAAAAAAATTAATTTGTCTTTTCTTAAAAAAAAGGTAGCTCTGGTGGCTTGCATTTTTAAATAAATTTAGTGAGAAAGTGATAATTATTTTGACACTTTTTTTTTAAATGCCTCTTTTTTTGCAACTGCATTGCCTTTCTTAATTGTCCGTCAGGATCTTGGCCTTTGTTTATGGAATCACTAAGTATAATGATTATTAAGCAACTCAAAAACTATACCAGCGTCATTACCGACGTATCCTTTTGAGAGGTAGCCGCACCCTTATGAGAGGAATAAGACCCAAACTTTTCAGGTAAAAAATTCAGTAGGTTGCGTCTGTATGGCCTTTTCAATTTTATAAATTATCATTATTTTTAAGTGGCAAAATAAAACTCAAAATTAATGATAATCTCTGCACGAAAAAATAAAAATCATAAAATAATCATTATTTGTAATCCCAAAAATAAAAATCAAATAATAACTATTTCCGTTTGAGCGAAAAAATAAAAATCAATAATAATTCGTAAAATAATGATTAAATGCTGATTTAAATTATTTTACTCATAATTATTACCTTCCCTGCGTTTAAAATTTGAAATAAAATAGTTTAGTGAAAGTACCACATTTCACTGCTTTTGGCCTGATGAGTTACTATCGGGCTGGTTCGTTTTTGGCGAAAAAGAACTAGTACTGAACTAGAAATTTGGTTCACTAGTTCGTGTTTTCCCTACAGGGAATACATAACCAGGCATTTGCAGAGAACGAGCACACGATGAGAACGCGACAACATGCAAAATGACCCTGTGGGGAAACTATCTAGCGCTTCTAGTAGATTTAGATCCAGTACTAGTTCACGATAAATATCTTTTGCATGCAAGCAACTGGCGAATTTAACATGGCGATGTCCTAGGAAGTGTCTATTGCCCCCCGCTGCATCCTTTTTTCGATAGTTCCGAACTAGTCCTGAATTCTATAGTTCTGAACCAGTTCTAAAATTGACAAACGAAAGAAAAAAGTATCATGATTTTTCAATCTTATTGGTTCTTCCGTATGTGCGATTTTAAGTTGTTTTGGAAGAAATGTGTTTTCAATTTGAAATTAAATTTGTTTGAATGATTGTAAGAAATGTACGTTTACATACCTTTAGCTGTAGCTGAGCTTGCAGAGGTGCTCGCTGTTATTTCTGAGATTCCAGACGGTCCCAAGATGTTGAGATATTAACACAAATTTTAGTTTTGTATTACCAAGCTATGAAAACGCATCTGCGAAGCACAGAATAGAAGCGTATTTGAACGAAAAAGCCGCCGAACACATATCTATGTAAAGTAAACAGCCCCCCGCTGCATCCCTTATTCGATAGTTCCAAACTAGTTCTAAATTCGACAAATAAGATATAGTTCGTTCTGCATCCCTTTTTCTATAGTTCCGAACCATTTCTAAATTCGTCATATTAGATATAGATTTCTAGTGAAAAAACTGAAAAAAATAGTTTTTTAAAAGTACCACTTTTCGCCGATTTTGGACTGGTGGGGATCTAGTTCCTATCGGACTAGTTCCTTTTTGGCGATAAAGGCCTAGTACGGAACCAGAATTTTGATTCACTAGTCCGTGGTATCGCTGCAGGGTACATGTGTGGCTATTTATATGCACACAATTTGTGAATGAACAAAAGATCATTTAAGTGAATGTGAAATAACACAAACTTGCTTTATTTCATTTCTCGTTGAGCAATAAGACCAACTTTTAAATTTAACAATTTGAGTAATAAAGCAAACTAGTGCACATATGTAGGTAGTCACCCAGTTACATTTGACAAAAAGTAGTACATGAACAAGTTAAATGGACGGATTTGTAAGTATACAATTTTGAAAGTGCCCGGCGTCGCGGCGGTCCGCGTTCGCGCGCCGCCCCGCGCGCGTTCGACGTCGCGCTCGCGTCCCCCGCCCCTTCCCCTCCTTTCCAATTATGTACTGGTGGCATTATAACCGTTTAGAAAAAGGAAAATTGATAAAATAACACTAGTTCACTTCTGAAACTGCTTTTTAATGTCCAAGTAATAGGAATTATTGTATATGGTGTTATTGCATGCATCCCACCCGTAGTGAAATTTACCAGGAGCCACTGCTTTATTTGAAAATTTGCCTATAAAATGTGACTATAAGGCAGCCGAATGTCAGAAAATAAAGCGCGAAAGCCGTTTTATTACTTCATCTGTTTATTACGACATGGTTCCATGCAAACATTTTAAGGTTATCCAGCAATGTTTTTAACATATTAAAAAGCATGCAGAAAAAATTCATACAAAAGCGCTATGTCCAATATGCGAAGCAGTTTTTAAAGACGATGCTTTTCCTATATTTTGTTAGACTTTTCATAAGTAAAAATATTTTTTGAATATTACTTTCTTCATATGAATTATATCACTTTTTTTTTAATTCAAGGCCTATCAAACAGGTTTAGAGCATTTGAGCAAAAACAACATTTGCCTGTATTTTGTTGTTGCTTCTGGTATCGAAGGGGCCAAAAACTGTTCTGATTTTTTTCTCCTACATCAAGGCGTGCCATGCGAAAAACGAAAAAGATAAAAAATTTAAATTGAAAAAATTTAAATTGTTGCAACTTTCTTTCTTAGCAAATTGGTTCGCTTCTCGAAGCATGGATCCATCCTGTGCCAGGCCCAGTAATCAGCGGTTGTGCTGCTGAATTGGGCGAGCGTTCCAAACTGCTATTTAATCGCTGGTTTTGTATGGAAAATGTTTCACATGAAATAGATTTTAACAATTTAGAATTTTTATGAGAAGAAATTAAAAATATTTAACATTTTCGAGAACAAATAATTTGAAAAAAAATCAAATCAGCTGCTATACTGATATTACCTGTTTAATGTGCCTTGGTTTAATTGTATTTTTGGAATCAACAAAGTTCTTTTTCCTTCTGTCAGTAAACTGTTTTTTTTTTTACAAATAGTATAAATAAGCAATGGGAAATAAGGCAAGATTTGTTTTATTTCCAACCTTTCCCCAATTAAAGTACCCTGCAGCAAATCAAACTGGTTCCGAACTTGCGCTGAGCTAGCCTGAAAAGGGACGGTACTGGTTCTTCATCTATCCCAACTCAATGCTTTCAACTGTCTTTATTAAGATGGCGATGTCCTACGAAGTGACAATTGTTGCCTTCTGCAGAACTTTTGAACTTGTTCTGAGCTGACTCTGGCTTAGATGGTTCTAAGTCAGCTCATGTAACAACCGTTCCTAGATAGTTCAAAAAGGGTCATCTCTGGGCTAGAACAAATGAGAATTTTCCACAAATGATTGATCCGAACCGGAAACCGAACCACTTTCCATAAAGGTTTAAAGGTTCGTTTCAACCAATTTTTAATAGATAAATGTACCCACTTTTTTTAGTTTTGTTAAACTCGGTAATACCTACCATATTTGTTTACCCTATGACAATATCAAATGACATCTCCTTTGATAGACACTTGACCCTTAACCTTGCGCGTTGTTACACTTGACACTTGACACTTAAAAACTTGTGCGCTATTTTTTAAACCTGAGCGCACTTGTGTATAAGGGGATTATAACTTTGTTCACATAACGGTTGTTTGTAACAGGTAAAACGAGTAAAAATTGAGATATCTTAATGAAACTTTGTACGTGCACTTCTTTCGGGCGTAGGACGGATGGTATGGAAAATGGGAAAAATCGGACAATAGATAATTTGGAGAAATACGAAATATGCGATAAATTAGTAAATATTAAAGCTAATTTATTCCAAATTGATGCTTGCAACAATCCTTTACCAAGAAATACGTTTATGATAAAATTTTGGAAAACGGGCGTGGCAGCGCCCACTTATGATCATATATATGTATCTCGGCAAGCGTTCTATCAATTTATACCAAACCCGGTATGGCTATTATGCTTGCCAAATAAAAGCAAAACGTTAAAAATTATTGAAATCAGACCAAAATTGAGGCCGCTTTTCATATAACGGTAAATTTCAGAAATGCTTGAAACCTCAATATTTCGAAATTTAAGGACGCTAAATTATTCAAAATTGATACACCCCGGCTGATCATGTTGCGGTAGCTTTCGGAAAGGTGAAAATCATATAATTAATACTTGCGCCGGGTATTTAATGTTCGGCTCCGCCCGAACTTATACTTTATTACTTGTTTGTTATTCGAACCATTGAACCGAGCCGAAACCCCGGTTCAAAGACCAAAAAACGGCTTTGACCAACCAATCCAAAAGTGCAAAACCGGTTCGAGCCGACAACATTTTTCATCCGGTTCACGTCCCTGATTATAACATAAACAATGTTTATTAAATATATAAATTCACGTTTATAACTGTGTTGGAAATTAAGTAGAATTCTAGAAACTATTATACACACTTCAATATTTTAAATCAGAATTTTAGGTATGCAGTTCTATAGCCCATTAAATTTTAATATAATTAATCGCGCTGATTTTTTATAACTATTTTTACGCACGCTTTTCAAGGTATTCTCCTATTTAAATATTTTCGTTTAAGATGCAAAGTTATACTTTACTATAATAAAATCTGATGGGCTACAAAACAGAATCCTCGAAATATTTATAAAAAAAACTCTGATTAAAATGTTTGAAATTTTAAGACAGTGTTTAGAGTTCTATCAAGTTTGCAGCACAGGTAGGAATTTGAATTTAAATGGTTCATGGAATATGAGACATACTTAACGAAAAATATTTAAAATGAAAAACATTGGAATTTAAAAAAAATCACTGCATAACTACACATTTCGGGTGTTCAGTGATATATCTACGTATGTAGAGTATCGGTTATCAATAGCACCCCATTTCAATGTGAGATTGTTTACCACTTTTGTTTATTTTTTTTTATCTGATTAAAAGGTCGAAAACAAGGATGCATTGTAACGTAAATTTTTTTTTTCTTTGTTGATTGCGTATTTAAATTAATACAGGATTTTCTCAGAAAAAGTACATTTTGTGTGAGAAGATAGCTTAACATACATAGTTATATCTACACGCTGTCAACTGCGTTAATTTTGTGGATGGAAATGAAAATTTTTGCGATTAATTAAAGGTTGAATATATATGTTTGCCTATAAAATTATGGTTTAGTAAAAATCAAAATGAGTGTAATTGAATTTAATTTAGGGTATTATGTATTTACTTCGAAATTATAATTGAGTAACAGCAGACTTTTAACTTGTCTTTTGAAATCAATAATATTAATACATGTATTAATATATTCTGGTAATTTGTTGAACATTCTTACACCATATTTGCGTATTGAATTAGTGCTTCTTTGAGTTCGAAAAAATCTACTCCTTATATTAAGTGTGTTTCTGAACTCGTATATTGGATTTTCTGGGAAGCTTAAGTCAAAGTTATGTTTGATCAGATTATTTTTGATCTTGAATACAATCAAGAGTGTTTGCAATACGCAGTACTTTTTATACCCGAGCGCACTTGTGCACAAGGGTATTATAACTTTGTTCATATAACGGTTGTTTGTAACAGGCAAAACGAATCGAGATAGATATAGACAAATGTATACATAAATGATCAGAATGAAAAGAGAAATCGATTAAGCGGTGACTGTCTGTCCGTCCGTCCGT